GGCTACGCTCGGCAAGGCTCGGCAAGGCTCGGCTACGCTCGGCAAGACTCGGCAGGGCTCGTCAAGGCTCGTCAGGGCTCGCCAAGGCTCAGCTCCTTGTGCCGGCATGGGGCTGCTGTTATGGCTGGTGGCGCAGCTGGGTGCCAGCTCCGCGGTGTACGTGGTGTCCGTGAATGTCGGGCGAGCCGAGCGGCCCTTGGAGCACTTTTGGAGGAGCACTGGGTTCTGGTAAGCTCGTACAGTCCTGCGGCCGGCGCCCGGCGGTAGGGCACGCACCGCTGGCATGAAGCAGCCGGGGAGAGAGCCGACTGCCTCAGCCCTGCTCAAGTAAAGGATTCCAGGGCGTGAGGACACAACCTTTCTGGAGGAACATAGGCGGTTCCGGGACTGCTGCTCGAGAGGCAGAGGGCCTGGCACCTCGCAGCCCTTTGCTGCCCAGCCTGTTACCTGCGTGGAGCTGGTCGTGGGACGTGACCAGTGAATGTAAACAAAGCAGATCACAAGATAGGATAGGCTAGTCGACCTTTCCTTTCTGACTTGCTCCCTTGCGTCCAGGACCCGCGAACCGTCCAGGTTCCTCTTCCACAGGACAGCACACACGTTGATGCTAGGAACTCATTCCATTTACTTTACAATGCTTTAATTGTCACGGTCACTAAATGGGCCCTGGCAAAGCTTCACTGCCTGTTCGTGCTAGGAATTTGTTCTTGCAAGACACAATATACCGCCTTCCTGATGTGGCCAGTGAGTCCAGTTGATCTAAGCTGGGTGGATGCGTGGGAGCATGCATGTGTCCCAGCTCCTCTGCTTCATATCCTGGTAGTGCTTTGCTTCTCAGAGAAAGCCCAGTCTTGCTGAGCTAATGGGTTGACAGCCAAGTTTTGCGAGATACATGAAGGCTTCCAGCAGGCTCAAAGGTATACTCCTCAGCCGTGTCTGTGTTTTACTCTAAACTGATATGATCTCCTTCATTTAGGCATACAGTGGATTAAATAACAGTTGTAGAAAAAAGAATTGCAACAGAGATGTAATCAGCAGTGTGTGCTTTGGACAAAAATGAATTTGTGTGGGGTTTTTTGTATAATGTGTAAAGGTTGTCTAAGACAAAAACCTAATTTTCCATTAGTTTTCCATGTTGGTGGAAAAACATAACAGGACCTAAAATAGATTCTTATGAAGAGAAATGGCTGTGCTTTCTAGATTTTTTCTTTTGCTGTTCATTTTTTGTTTCAAATTTTTGCTTTCAGTGTTAGCAAACATTAATGAAAAACTGCCTTAAAAAATAGTATGTTTTGCCTATTTAAACTGCAGCCTGGGAGACTGCAAGGCTTGATGTTCTCTTGAATAGGCACTTTCCACTCAGAATAGGAAAGGACAGATACTGATGCTACCACTAACAAAACCCACTTTTCTGCCAACTTTCTTTTGTTTCTCATCATGTTTTCTGCTAGATTTATTCTAGCAGACTGTGAATTTCAGTGTGTTTATTCAGTGTGGACTAAGCAAAAATAAGTGAATGCTTTATGCCTTGACTTCCATCTTTGCCACTGCTTGAACTGAAGCAGGTTAAAATCTCAGAGTAGTAGTAATATAGCACTCCTTCAGAAACAAGAGTTAACATTGTCCTTATTCACTGGAAAAATAAAGGAAACCCAAATGTCTGATGTGTTTTTAGTAAGAGTGTAATCAGTAACTTCTCAGTCTCAATTGTGTGACTTGAAGCAATATCAGGGAGGTGATTTTTAAGTGTCTTGTATGCTGGTGAAGTTGCACAGAGGGGCTCACATGTGCTGACTGATTTTTATGAAGCCCTACAAGGATGTAACCTGTGTCAAGAATTGTACTTAAAGACATGGGTGCAGGAGATAGGTTAATAGATGGACAGTACCTTATCTGGGACAGAAGTTTCATCAAGTTCTTACCTAGGTGGGGTCAGGCTTTTCCAGCCTTGTGCACATATAGTTATACGTAGCAGGTTCATTTAGGGGCAGCCTTGGAGGTATGATGTATATGTGGAGGGGGACAGAGGAGAGGATGACAGTATTATTTTTCCCATCAGAGTTATAGTCAGCATAAGAACTGATGCACCCCTCAGAGGAGGTAGATTGCAGTAAACAAAGCATAAACTATTTTAGTTTTTCACTTATACAGTTAGTCTGCAGTCTGTAGTTAAGAGTACAAGTTCTCTCTGCAGTGTGAAGACATGTGGAAGTATTTTACCAAATCTTGGGGTCAGTGTTTTATCTTTCTTGTAATACAAATGCTTTAACACTCAGAATTTGCATGTTACTAGGAGGCTTAATGAGAGTCTCTAAGGATGCCCACACCCAGTGAATTGGGCAGCATTCTAAGTTTCTGACTTGTGGAGGGTGGGGGTGAGATCTCCCTCCATCTTGAAGCTACTTATCTGTGGAGATAGAGGCAGCAAAAAATTGCCTCAATATTATGTTAATTTTTGTGGAGTAAGTAGACACCAAAGTCATGCTAACATGATCATTGCTGTACAGCAGTGAGCAGGTTAAACTGCTTGCAGCATCAAGCATAGAAACCTTAAGCCACATACTCCTGTGCTTCCTTATGCTTAGGGGTGAATGTGGAGGCCCTGAGGGGTCTAATTCTGCTTTTAAAAGTGTAGCTTCCACAGCAGAGCAAGAGTTGATGTCATTGCATGGACTTCATCAGGAAGATCAAGCCCATATTTGTGCTATTACAGACCTCAGGAAGTCTGACTTCCACTCCAAAGCTTAAAAGACACCGAGCTTCTCTATCATTAGTTACTCGGAGCCAATTGCCATTGTATGGCTCCTTCAGGCCACCGATGCCTGAGATTGTTATCTGTGCAGCAATGACTGCTTATAATACCTTCCTTTGGGCACCACAATGAGATGCATCCAAGTTATGTTTCACTTTGCCAAACTACATGTGTACTCAGTTAGCCCCAGATGACCTGCAACTCTGTTTTGCTTTCGTCTCATGTTAGACAGTGCTTCTCATGCCAGGTTGGATCTTGCAGGTGGTATAGGGAATTAGCTTACAGATCTTTGGATACCCAGTGGAGCTATGAGTTAATATTTCAGTGTGCTGTTTCTTTTCTGTCCCTCCTTTCCTGAAGCCCTCCCTTACCTCACAGCCGTGCTGACCTATTTGACCTGAGCAAAGACCAAGAGATGAACCTTGCCTACATTTCTTCTGTTCCGTATGGTGGCATTGAACAAGTTCGAATTCACTGGTTACTGGAATTAGTTGCTCTCAGGTAAGCAAACACCTCAAGTTGAAATCTGGAAAAAATGTGACACATTAAATTGTCCAACAGGTGCTCACTTTAATATTTATCATAGTATAGTTGCAAGCTGGACATGTCTTTCCTTCCTTGGAAGTCAGATAAGTGCCAGTGGGGGAGAATCAATGTGAGGATGTATGAGATTAAGAAAGAGAGAACCTGTATTGAGAAAGATGGAGCTAACCTTCATGCATTACATCCTAACAACAGATTAAGGAGCAGTTTACGGTTTCCTTTCATCTAAAGAGTCTTGTGGGTATGCTGGTCAAGTTTTACCAAGACCATCTCAGGTCATATGCTACAGTCATTCTACATCTCCCCTGCTGCCATGTTCAGGCCTCAGCGTCTTGATTCCCAGTTGTACCATGACCTTTAGAAACACCTCAGGTGAGCAGAGATGGGTTGCATGCACCATTGCATGTACAAGTTCTAGTGCTGCTTTTTTTTAACTGTGTGTATCTTTTGTAAAATGCTTCTTGGCACAGCCTTGAAAAGAGAGTCTGGAGACTAGAGAAGTCTCCAGTGGTTCCTTAGGCATGGAAGAATTCTGCTTTGCAGTCAGGGCATCTGTGCCCAGTGTTATGGAGAGAAGTCTCAACTGGATTCCAGGCAACGGCCATTCCTGGAAATCTGTTTTCAAGACTTATACTGAGTTTTACCACTGCTGTTCCTTCAAGTCCAGCCAAGTTTGGTCTTAGTGCAGTTACACCAGCAACTACTCAGTGCTGCAAAGGACTGGTGGGAGAAGCTAGACTTTGAGAGTTCAGTTCCTGTCCACGTGTACCTAGAGCTCCCTCTGCCTGTAGATCTGCTTTTAATATTCAAGTCACAGTGTTAAACTCCCTTTCAAGGTTAGATGAGTCTTTAGGAATGCATTGGAATAGGGTGATAGGCAGAAATTCAGTCCATTCCTTACCAAAAAATTTCAGGTGGCAGTACTGTCCCAAACAAGACTTCTCACACATCCTGTTAGGTGATTTGCTAACCAGTAACCATTCTAAGAACAGTTCTGAGGGACTAGAAAGATGGCTTACTTTTCTGTCCTTTAATTTAGGAGATATGATACAGAAAAAAAAAAAAGTGTCACAAAGATTAAAACAAGCCTGAGTTATTTAAAGGTCCAAATGAAAGCTGCCACTATTTTATTACTATTTCTGTCTTCGTACCACTTGGGAGTTTATTTTTGCATTCTGAACCCACGTATGCACTGCATCAAGTGACAGGTAGTGACAACTAAAACTGTGACTTTAGTTAATACCAGTTAATACCCTCTTCCAAAAGGATTCTCATAGATAATAGCATTTCTAGTGCTAGGGAAATACATGTCCTCTGTGAGAACAATGTTGGATTTTCTTGCCTTTCAGGTCCCATTTAGTTCAGCTTAAACACTCATAGCAATATGCCCAGTGGAAAAAACAAATACAGATTCCAAGATCAGGAGTAATTTGTCTGTAAGGAAAGACAAACCATAAAAACTTCAGCAACAGTTGTAATATCTCTTTGAGTTCTGCCTAGCTCAGGCTGTTGCTGAACTGAGCATATTCACAGTCCACATCATTACTGCATCTGCTGTCCCGAACACAGGAGGATGGGAATTTACCAGTTGTAAGTTTGGGGAAACAAGAAGGGGAAGAAGAGCTCAGACTCTGAAAATGGGATGTTAGCGGAGGAGTAGTGGGTTTCAAAGTGTACATTCAGAACAGGAGAATTTTTCTTCCTATTAGGGTGTGCTCATGTATGTAAGCTTGTTTGGGAAGGTTTTCAGAGGTTCTGTATACAGATGAGTATTGCATCAGTACTCCAGAGCTGTCTCTGTGTGTTAGTCTGTATGTGAATATATCTGGTAACACAGTTCCTCCCTCCCATCTTTACCTGTGGAAGTTTCCCAGTAAACACCCTTTCCTGTGCCTTGTCTCCCTCTCTTACTGGGCTGTGGGTTTTGTACTCACTCTTGCAGTGACTCAGCTTCAGCAGGGGCAAGGACAGCTGTTCACAGCTTACCACTGCTGGAGTCCCTCTCTAAGATCTCAGAGGTTTCTCCTGAGAGATGGCTTGGGTTTTTCAGGTTTCTGTAACCAACTGACTTACAGGAAAATCAGTGAGTACCTTTGAAAAGAAAGTAGCCACATCTACACTCAAAGGCCAGAATCCTTCCTGGCAGCCTGTCTCAGCTGTGCAACATGTTGGATTGTGCTTTCCAAATGATTGAGGGAAAGAAATGTGTCTGTTCTGGATTCTACTCAGCCTTCGTAGGGAATGATGCACTGAGTCCTTCCTTGACACAGTCAAAATTCTAGGAGCATGGAAACTTACCAATCAAGCAAGAAACCCCAGAGAAGCTGTAGTACCTCAAGGGTAGGATTTTAACCCACTAGCCTCAATATTTAGCTCAGCTTTGACATGTAGATATTAGAAACTTCACTACTGCTTAGAACCAAGCTAAAACTGCTCATTTTGCAAAAATGTGCATTTGTCAAAAGCAAGAAGACATTTAAGTTGTGGAAGGACAACCAGTGGAGTGATTGGCAGCAATGGTTTTGAAAGGAAGAGAGCAGGGAGCCTGCAGATAAACACTGGGATTGAAAGAAGCAGCAGGGGCACAAATGCAAGTCCAGATGGGAGGAGTTCAATGCTAATGCTGAATTGCATGTATGTGCAATTCTCTTCCTGAACCAGTGATTCCCGAAAGAACCGAAAGGGCTTTTGAGTGAGAACCCTGTAACACCCAAACTGTGTTATGTCATAAGGTTGGTGAGTAAGGAAGACTTCTTGGAAGGTGATGGTGGGGACTTGACTGAAGAAGAGCACTTAAAGGAAATGGAGAACTAGGAGATACTACCACTGTCTGGTGGAAGGCTAATGGAGACAGGCATTGCTTTTCCTCACAGTTGTGCCATCTGTAAAAAGGTACCATAAATGTCTCTCCTAAGAAGCAGATGTGCTCAAACAAAAGACCGCCACCTTCCCCTTCTCGCTTCTATAACGCTCTTTCTTATTATGTCTTCTAATCCCCCAGTGTCAGTGCATCCCTGTATTGTAACCCTTTTTTAGGACAGCAAACCCACCTCTTACGTTTTTCTTTATTCCAAGTTATCCTGTTATTTCACTACCTGTGAAAGGGTACCATGAGGCAAACTGTTTTCAAAGAACTGCTAGTTTTACTTTCCAGCCAAAAGCACACATATTTCTCTAGATCATGTGACAGAGGAATATTCATAGTTATAGGGGAACCCAAGGTGTCTTTCATGGACTGGACAGTTCCCTGGTTGTTAATTACCAGTGCCAATAACTTACAGCCATTTTGACACCTAGAGCACACATTCTGGCCATGCTGCTCTAGTCAACAGGAGAGTTTGAGGTGATGATTCCCAACTCTTTGCCCAGCAACATGGGACCCACGCAGTCTGCAAATTGAGAACCCTTTCCTGTTCTTATGTAGCAGTACTAAAGTTTGTGGATACATGATATATACAAAGCACCACAGTGAACAAAAATATAGTCAATCTACATGATGGATATAACATTTCCTAAAAAACATATAATTATTTTATTTCAACATTAGTATTAACCTTGTTGGAATTACAAGCCCATCCCCAGCTCCTCCAGGTCATGGTACCTAATTCCTAGTAGAATAGGAGAGAAGAGAATCAGCAGTTTTTGACAATTTCAGTCTTTGTACCTTTAATCTTGGTATAATGCAGTATAGCAAACATAAATGTGCCAGAGAAATGCTTACTTTTTTAGTTTCCTTAGAAATAATTTACAGTGTTCCAGCATCCCTACACCATAGCACTGAAAATTGTTTCCCTGCTGTGTCTGACATTGTCCAACACAACAACTTGATTGTGAGCCAGCTCTGCCAATGAAACAAACAGAAAATTGTTTTTATGGTTTATTCTGGTCAGTAATTTCTTCCTAGTAGAAGTCTTAAAGCTTACCCCACCTCTTATGCATTGCCAGGTTTCTTTGCTTAGGTATCCTTTGGTGCCATTCTTAAAATAAATATGAAAAAGAGCTTTCTGACTCTTAATTTCTCAACCTGCTGGGTAAGAGAAGGGCAGCCTCTTTTCATTTTTCACCAGACTGTTGCAAGGATTAACCTTCCATTGGAATATCTTTTTTTTTTCTTCCTTTTAAAATGAGATTCATCTAGAGTTAAGGGTATTTCTGCATTTTTTTCCTTTATGTTCTAGGCTGGTAGCTTGACCCATAAAGATAAAAGAGGTCTGGATTGCTAGGGTGTGTGTTCTTTTGTACTGAAACAATTTTAGTTGAATACCAATGACAGCTTGCTTCGGCATGATAGCCTAAGAGTGTGTATATTGATACTGTCTGGCAGTAACTCCTCTAAACCCACTTCCTCATGCTAGGCCCTGTCAGGACCTTAAAGGAGAGGTCAAAGAATGGTTACAAACAAAAGCAGACACAAAGCAATACTTTGTCCTTGGGCTCTGGTCATTTGCTTTTATGACAGAAAGAAGCTAGTCATACCAAGTCAACAATTTAAAGAATAATGTAATTGAATTGTTTTATGGCAGGAAAATGCTGCCAATGGTCTATTCCTTAATCTCTTGACAGACATTTCTGTCAGCTTTTACTTCTCAGGCAGTGCTCACAGTGTGCAGCTGACATGCTTTTTTATAATGAGTGCATGTAAATGACAGTATTGAATCAATTACCTAATATTGTGCTATTCTCAATCCCTGTGAAGACATTTTTAATTTTGTCTTTTGGGAATGCACTGCTTTTTCTTTAACAAAATATTTGTTCTTGAAAGCCAGATACACTCTGGGGCACCTGGAGAACCTGAGTTTGAGTGTTCCTTCGTTCAGTGACCTGAAAAGTCACATGATGTGTTGATCTAACTTCTTTAGTTTTTAATAGCACAGCAGAAAAATGGCTTCTGCATACATGGAACCCATTTCTAGCGTCTGCTAATTGTAAGAGGCACAGCTGTTACTGAATTTCCTTCCATGCTTGGTGCTGTCTGTGAACCAGCTATGAATAAGGAAAGAGAGGGCAGCTGTCCTAACTTTTGTGCAGGTAATTATAAGCTTGAGTATGAGAGAGGATATTCTGTCAATGCCGTGGGCCAGAACACTGAATGCTAACTGCGTGACAATCAAAATTTAGATCTATGTTTATCTGTAAAGAGAGAACATGCATATATAACAACACAATCTGGGGGTGTCATTTGACACACAGCAGACTGAGTAGCAGTGAATGCAAATTATTATAGAAGGTAACCCAGCTCTGGAAAGCATGGCTTAGAGGACCTCAAATCAAATAATAATATAATAGAAGAAAAAAAAAAAACCAACAAACACCAAGATGTTTGTAGTATGTACAAACTGGTGGAATTTTTCCAGCATGTGGGGATACACAACTTGAAAAGAGTTGCTTCCTTCACGTGGCCTAGGTATGCTACTGTAAAGCTTCATTAGCATTGCATCAGAGAAGACCAGCCAGGCAGTTCTGACTGACCCATCACTCCCCTTCTAGGCACATCACAGATTTAATCTTCGTACCCTACCCTCTTTTCTCCTGTTTCTCTTTGCACCCAGGCAGGCAGTTTTAGGAAGAACATGTTGTACTGTATCACAGTTCTGAGGTTTCATGTTTGCTGGCCCTTATGTGTCCCTGAATTGGAGTTGCATCTGCCCACCAGAAGCAACTTATTTTTACATGATGGTAGAACTACCTGAGTGTGACTGCCAATTAAAGCTATTAATTTTTCTTAACCTTGATTATCCTCTTACTAGTTACAGAATTGTACATCAGAGTCATATTTCTTTCAGCAACATTAAGGATATCACAATCTTCCGTAACTAATTACCGCAGAATGAAGCCAGTAACACAGCAGTAATTTTTGAAAATGATGATTTTGAAAGGAACCTGTGATGGATCATGGGTTTTTTTTCTCCTGTGGCAGGTTGTGTCATTAAGCCTGTGTAATCAGGATGGAGAGACATGCTACATTCCACAATATTTTACACATTTTATTTGTATGGAAAAAGTGGGAGTTGTTTAGGAGTACATCTAGAATGATGGAAGGGATAGGGCCTTGCAAGCCAGAATTTAAACCATTATGTGTCCAAGATGCTAGATTGATTATATTTCATGGAGATGGCTTAGCCCTCTTAGCACAAGCCAGCCATTAAACCACTGGGAGAGTCAGCTGACACTGGGCTTCCAGCACAACGGTCTTACGATGTATATGTTGGGTTACACAAGGTCATGGCACAAGGTGGAAGTCAATCCCTATTGTGCATCACCTGCACATAATAAGCCTGTTCTGTCCTGGTCCTGGACTGCATCCCCAGTGGCTGTTCTATGTGGCATCTAACAAACAGCAGAGCTCTTCAGGGGAGAGTGGTTTGTAGGCCCATTGCTGTACACAACCAATGGCGTGTCTGATAAATTAATTGTTGCAAACTGCCCCTCCCCATCTGTCATTTTTGTAGTGAATCATTAAGGAAGAAACAGGATTAAACTGAGCAATCTGCTGGAAGCTTTTGGTCTTTTGCAAACTGCACAGCATTATGTATACTGTAGAACAGCATTTCCTGCATGCTTCCAAAATCTTTCCCAAAGTAACCTCCTCTTTTCAGAGAGTCTGTCACTGTGGGATTGCAGCAAGCCAGGAGAACAGAAATGTTTAAATCCTTGTAGTCTTTCAGGATTTCCTTTAGAGTATTAACTCCAGTAGTGTCCAAAAAGGAGATGGAAGAGCAATCTACAACAAGGGCTTGGAAATCATTTTGCTTAGGAACTAGTTGCAGAGTGGTTTCTCTGATGCCCAGTCCATTAGCCGTTCTGTGATCTCCTTTTTTCAGATGCTGCTTTCCCTTCTCATATTTCTTCCTTCTAGCAGCCTCTAGGTTAGGATCTAAGTTAGTCAATCTGTACAGAGATTTTAGGAAGTAGTTTCTATTTGCATAGTAAAGTGGGGCCTCAAAACGGAATATTTTGACCTTTGGAACAGAAGAGAGATTTTCATATTCTAAGTCATCCTCATAAAAGCTGGTGTTTTGGATCTGTCCAAGCAGGGTTGTCCGTGGTCGCTGTGTCCGAACAATGATGCATAACATGGAGAAAACAATGCCAACCAACAGTCCTATTTCTGTGCTGATCAAGGCAGAGGCAGACATGGTAACAACCCAGATAAGTGTGTCCACCTTATTCACATGGTACCTTGCTGGCACATCTTGGAACTTCCTCAGGGCTCCTCGGAGGCTGACAATAATGATACAAGCCAGGACACACTTCTGCAAGGAGTAGAAGAGAGGTGCCAAGAAGAGCAGCACCAGCAAAACCACCATTGCACTAATTACTCCAGAGACTTGAGTCTGGCAGCCTGTAGATGTTTTGACGAGTGTTTTTGCCAGAGCTGCACTGGTTGCAAAAGAGTGGAAAAAAGAAGGAATGATGTTGCAGAACCCCACAGCAAACATTTCCTGATTGGCTCGGATGGTGTAAGCATATTTCTTTGCACACATTTCAGAAAGGGATACAGTGAAGACAAAGCTGACTACAGCAAGAGGCAAAGCGTCTACAGCAACTCGGAGCATTAAGTTGAAATGTGGTACCTTGGGGGGAATAAATCCTGTTGGAATAGCTCCAGAAACACTGGATGCATACACTTCATTTAACTTTCCGTAGTGTGACACCAGTGTTGCCACAACAATAACTACTAGTTCTGTGGGAAGAGGAAATTTCAGCTTATGCTTATACCGATCTCCCAATTCCTTAGCTGTGACCAGCACCATGATACAAATGGCACTTGTGATGACATCACAAAGGTTAGCTTGAGAAATATTCCGGAAAATGTTAATCCAGGTAATAACAAGCATCCCGTGCCCTTGGCTACGTGGGATTTTTATTCCAATCAGATACTTCACTTGAGCTGTTAAAATGGTTAAGGAAGCACCAGTTGCAAAGCCATCTAGTACAGACTCAGATAGGTACATAGATACAAAACCCAGACGGAAGATTCCCATTAGAACCTGAGGAGACATAGGAAAAAAAAAAAAAAAAAAAAAAAAAAAAAGAAAGATGAGCCTTAGATGGTGCTGCAAATAATTAAGTACAGATGGGAGAGAACTTTCTGGAGGCACATAACATTTGGTTATTTGAATCTTAAAACAGCAGTTACCAGTTGATGTTTCTGGTCTGCTTTTAAAACATGTGATTCCTTTTACTGTTGTGGGATATTACAAACCCAAGAAGTGAATAAGGAGTATGAGACAGTTAAACATTGGTCTGAAGTGACTCTACTGAAGTATCTTGTCTGAATTTTATTTCACATGCAAAACAGCAGTGGATCCAAAAATACTTCTGTTATACCAAAGCCAATTTTCTTTTTTCCCCTCTTAAAGTGAATGAAACAGCTGTTGCTTTGTAAACGAGCTTGAATGTCAACAGCTAAGATCCCTGCTTTAGTGGCACTGTTACATTAAACGGCTTTTAATTTTAGCCCTGTTAACAGAAGCGGAAGTGAACCACAGACAGCCTTTGTGACATGCCTAAGGTCAGAAGTGACAGAACAGCTCATAAACTTTCCCAGATCACAGGATAATGTCTTTAACAGTTGGTTCTCCTTCCTTTGTTGGCTTTGGAAAATACAGCTTCACAAGCGTGTTTTTTTGTTGAGAAATGTGATCTGAAATTTCTTAGTAAACAGGAAGATAGCTAGTTCTTACTTAATTCATATATATATATATATATACACACACACACACACACACACACAATTAATAGGTAAGTATGTGCATCATGCTTCCTTCTGTGTTCTCTTGACATCCTTGTGATGTTGGCAGCATGTTGATAGGTCTCAAAGAGTCCAGCACAGCCATTGTCTGAAAAGTAGGTTAGTCAATTTGTTTTCCTTCTTGTACTTTCTGCTTCTGAATTATCTTTGGACAACAGTTTGGTAGAACATAGTACTGACTATCAAAACACTGAGCAGCACATTCTGAATGTGTGTGGAAGTAGATGAGCGGGTCTGCACCTTTCTTAAAGTATCTAGAGTAACAGAATTCATTGTTGAAGTATACAGCTACCTGGGCATTTCCCTCATGGTAAGATCTGTAATGCATTCATGGTCCCGTGAAAGCAGCAAGGCCAAGAGGCAGTAGAGTTTCAAAACAATGTTAATGGTGTTGCAGAAAACTCTTGCTTTACCAGTGCTTTACCTAGTAGCTAAGAAAATGCCTACCTCATGCTTTCTCTGAGTTGCCTATAGTTAGGCTTCCTGGAGAAAACAGTCCAAGGTCATTCAAGTGAACTGATACCATTTCTCTCATTGAAATAGAGTCAAACTAAAGCTAAGGTCACTCGAAGCTTTAGGAACTTCATACCTTGCCTCTCAATGTCAGCAATCACTTACCTGATACACTCCAGCCACAAATGTCAAAGCTGTAGCAATGCCAATAGCGTAGCATTCTTTCCCACACTCAGCATTCATCCCTCCAACTGTAAGGTTGAAGGCACTTGAGTTGGACTGACTGTCATTCTGCAGAGAGCCATCACCCCAGGCTGATGGGGCATCATCATTCAAGTCAAACCCAGCCAAGAGAAGTTCTCGGTCCACAACTTGTCCTACCATTAAGCTGATCAAGCTGAAAATGCCAACTGAGACATGACGGGATGTGCCCATTAAGAAATAGATGATGTTGGCAAAGAATGATGTGTAAAGACTATAAATGGGCTTCAGACCTGCCAGCAGTGAGTATGCAATTGCTTGGGGCACCAAAATGATCCCAATCACTAACCCAGACATAACGTCCCCCCAAATGTACTCTTTGCATTGGTACTTGGGAAGCCATCTTAAAACAGGAAGGAAGTCCATGACAAAGTTCTTCAGCTTCTTTGGGGTGCAGGAGCAACTCTTCCTCAGCTTAGCTAGCATGACTTCTTTCCTATTAATCTTGACACGAGTCCTTCTTTCCATGAGAAAGCAGGAAGAGGTGCTGTTTTCCATCCTGGTAGCCTCAAGCGGTCTTTCCATTGTCCCAGTGTTTACTTCATCTGTGTGTTCCTGCAATGTGAAGAAAATGGCTGTTAGGTTGCAGTTCATTAAGGTTTTTTTTAGAAAGATGCTTAATGCTAAAAGTTTATCAGCTGATTGTGCTTTTAAGGAAGCATTATCCCAACAAGAACAGCACCACAAGGCTCTAGTGACACATTACACTAAGAAATAAATCTGCAGATAAAGCCCTTTCTTGCAGACAGTTAGGAGTACATTTGATTGAATCCCGTTTGTTTTACTAAGGAAAAATAGAATTAAATTAGTTGTTTCTTTGTACAACAAATATTTTCATCAGCTCTTCCAAATGCTTTATCACAGATATCTCTCTGATCAGAGGCAGCACTTGATGGTGTGAAATAAACATATACTAATGAGGCAGGCTATGATCTTTCTAATAGTGCATCTTGTAGTCATTGATCTGGAACTCACATGTGGTATAGTAGTCTGTCACTGCAGCTGTCCTTAATGCACAGGAGAAAGATTTTGCTAGTAGAACCTGTAAAGCAGTTTTCCAGAGAGGAACAGCTTAGTCTTATACAAAAATTTGTTCACAAACCATTGATGGATTGATGGAAGCCAATACATAACATGAACCTGTTGAATTGTAGATTGTTTTGATGTGCAGGTTTCATTAATTAGTAAGTATTTCCTCACAAATACCACTTGGGCAACATGTGGACCATGCACCATGATGGAATCTGTTCCCATCACAGAAGAGTGCTACATGTTAGTATTTTCAAGTTTAAGCCCATAGTTACCGTACCTTTGCTCTCCAAGGAATTCGATATAACAAATAATTCTGTGGGCAGCAGAACAAACACAATGGTGTTTCCTGTGGTTCTCCTGCATGTCAGTTTTCTGATACATAAAAACTGGGAAGATTTGTATTCTCCAGATGGAGGTGCTTTTGGTGTCTCTTACCTGTATGAAAACAACTGTTTTCACCAAACAATCTCTGCATTTTTACTCAACTGTCAAATTAAGCTGAAATTAACTTAGTGCATTCATAAATCATTAGGGGTAGGTGGGGACATGACTGAGGAGCAAAACAGTGTAACATGCAAATGCCCTACCTTAAACAGTTTAAAAGTAAGAATAGGAGCAGGAAGGTGGAATATGTCAGAAATTTGTCAGGTGGCAAATCTTGCTTTCTAGTTTGCAGTGGAAACGAAGAAGAGACTTCCAAGAGAGGATGTCCATATATATAAGTACTGGGAGATAATGAATGACTCATTCTGACCTAGAAGAAGAGAGTATGTGCTAGTACAACAGTATGCAGAACCTCCAGGGAAGAAGAGCTTATTAAGCCCAGCTTCTCCCAGTGTCATAAACAGCCAGGATATCTGCAACAAAGATTTTTGGTGCAAAGATTATTAGGTGTGATATTGCAATATAATGTCAAAGCTTGTCTTCACTTACAAGTAAAAGCTGTTTCTTTCCTCTTTCACTATCTAGAGACAGAAGCCGTACCTATCAGTTTCCTAAAGCTTGTTCACTGGACAGTATTCTTTTGGTATATTTTAATGATGTTAACAGTTAATAGTAAGTTTAGACTCAAAGTCATCATTCTCTGTAAATTTCTTTTTTTTTTTTTTTCTCTTGAGAAAAGTATTTTGATTTGTTAATGTTTGGTAACACCCAGTTAAAGTGCAGAATTCCAAGCTGAGAAAAATCAAAGGGTTTATGAGCCCAACTGGAGGTATAACTGATAAGCAAAAGAACAGATTACCAACAGCCTGTAAGCTTTTAATCAGTAGCACTCCAAATAAAGAGTGGATTATTATAGTCTTCTTTCTATCCTGCTTAGAATTTTTTTTCAAGATTTTAACAAATACCTTTTGCCAGCAAATTGAAAACAGTAAGAAGACATGTATCTGTACCTAGTGCAAAAGTCTTGAACAAGTTCCCAGGTATTATTTTAAATGACATAGTGTGATTTGTAAGTTTAACTGTAACTTGAATCAGGATGTTTTAAGTATTACGGCTACATAATTCATAATTTGGTAAAAGGCAGAAAAGTGATTATCGTTAGAGATGTGTGGACTGGTTGTCCAAGTTGAAAATGACTTGCATAGTAGTCTAAATATATTTTAAAATTCAGTAGATTTCCATCCATTCCAGTGACATTAGTTTTTCACTCCCACTGTGTAAGTTTGTTTGTTTGTAAGTAAGGCTTATTTCTGTCATAGGGAAAAAATAATTACAATTTAATGTAATTACTTAGAAAGATTGATGGCTATTTTTTAGCAGTAATGCCAAATTTACTTTAGACTCTAATGAACAGTGTAGTTATTCTAGGCAAGATCTGCTTGGACAGGAAATAGGTTGGATCTAGTCTTTTTCAGAATGCAAAGGTGAGGGAAAAGATAAAAGAAGTTACAACATCAAGAGAAATACTTAAGAGCATATGATTAAAGTTTACCAAATACAGAATGCTAGGAACTTTAATGAAGACATCATTTTTAAGATGCAAAATACCAGCACTTCCTGACTTACCTAAAGTAGTTTAGAGAATGAGAGGCTTGTGCATGAGGACAGCAATTCCTATTTGAATACCACTCACTTTTTACACGCAAGTGAATTCAGACAGCCAAGAAATAAATACAGCGCCCTTGTTCTACATGCTTAAAAGCTAGTGGGCAGTTCAATATCCAGTGAATGCCTTTGATAGGCTACATTAAAAAGATTTATTCTTTTTTTGTACACTAAGATCATATATTTAATTGTACAGTTTTTGTCTGCCTATCTAAACTCACACAATTTGCTTGCAAGTAAATCTGTATGTACAAAAAAATCCTATCAAAATTCAGGCATATGCATTTTTTGTGCAGCTTCCTGAGCGATGATAACAGTTTTTAAAACATAAGATTATTGGAATATAATTTCTCTGGAAATCGGTTAAGAGATCTTGTGTATAAAGGGTAATTTAGTAACATATCTTGGCTGTACTGCCCTGTTGGATAAACAGAATAGTAACTTTTTGTAAAAGCCAGCAACAAAAAAAAAACCCAGTATGATAAAGCATGTATCTTCTCGGCAGTTTTGATACATTTTAGACAAAGAACCCTTCCTGGTGGAATAAATACATTTAACCTAAAACATAGCCAAAAGCTGACAGAAGGTCATTTTCTTCAGTTCTTTTTTTCTCCTGAAAATAAGAGTTTCCTTCCTGTAAGCAACCATTTATTATCTAGATACATTTTCAGAATCCATGTGAAATGAACATGCTAGCTGTAAAACACTCAGCTCTAAAATGAGATGTTATTGGTTTCCAGAAATTGTTAATGTTTAGAATTCAATTGTTGCTTTTAGAACATAGTAAAGCCACAGCAAATAATGGAAAGGACATTGCTACCAGCAAAACATTTTTTCAGCTGTGTAACTCAAGAATTCTTAAGCTGTGATGTCTGCAGCTCAGTAATAATTTAGTTGCTTCACCTGAAGAAAATGGGATACCACCATGGCTGTGTGCTATTCCCTGTACATTTGTGAGCTTAGCAGTGAGCTTTCAATGCTCTTGCCATCTCCAAAGACAGGAGGATAGAGAGCATATCTATCTACTCCTGTGCACATGATTAGACTCTGACTTTCTGATTCTGGCACTATGACTTCATCCTACATCCTTGGTAATGCTCAAGCAATATTCAGGAGCCCTAGGGGTGTCAGTAAAGAAATTCTTCTATTAGTTCCCCAAACTGACCCATTTTCAGCTTGGTCTGTACTAAATTGCTTATTAGAAAAGCTTTGACCTGTATTTCAGTCTCCTTATCCCCCAGAACTTTACAGAGCACAAAGTTTGCATTTTATTCAAGGGAAGGCATCCTGTCACTGTTTTCAGTGGGAATGCACTGATGAAGCAGCATATAGCACAGAATGTGTCTATCCATTGCATTTGACTTTGGTATGGGAACATTCTCAACTGTTTAATACAAGTGAAAGTTACTTACATACACAGTCATATACATACCAGCAAAAGCAAAAAGCTTTTAAAAAAAAAATTTCTGCTTGAGCAGAACCACTGTCTGAGCCACTCATACCTTCAGATTAAATACAGTGACTCAGTTAACTTATGAAAAAGAGAAACAAAGCAAAGAACCATTCAAGCCAAACAAACTGCCAACTTTCCAACTGGCCTTAGTCCCACCTTTCTTCCTGCCTTTTCACTGTGCCAATGACCTGACAAAATCTCTCTGCAGGGGAGGAAGCATTAATTACATGTTCAGTGAGATTTCTCTTTGCAGATTCCTTGGCAAGCAGTTTCTGCTGGTACCATATATAACCATTCTAGCTGGATGAGTTGTTCATTATGAAACAGCATAATCCCCAGAAAATTTATTCTTTTGACATCCTTTTGTCTCCCCTTCCTGATTGGCCACCAGAAAATCTGAAGCTGTATCTCTAGAAAGCCCAAGAAGGAATAGGCAGGATGATCTCTCTGTAAGCTAAGGAGATCTCTTAAATGCTATGTTTGGGACAGGAGTCAGACAGTGTATCACAAGTCTGTACTAGATCGACAGGATCGAGTGCACCCTCAGTGAGTTTGCAAATGACCCCAAGTTGGGTGGGAGTGTTGATCTGCTCGCGGGTAGGGAGGCTCTGCAGAGAGACCTGGACAGGCTGGAGCCATGGGCTGAGGCCAACTGGAGGAGTTTCAATAAGGCCAAATGCCGGGGGCTGCCCTTGGGCCAGAACAACCCCCAGCAGCGCTACAGGCTTGGGGAGGAGTGGCTGGAGAGCTGCCAGTCAGAGAGGGACCTGGGGGAGCTGATTGACAGTTGCCTGAATAGGAGCCAGCAGTGTGCCCAGGTGGCCAAGAAGGCCAATGGCATCCTGGCTTGTGTCAGCAATAGTGTGGCCAGCAGGGACAGGGAAGGGATCTTACCCCTGTACTTGGCACTGGTGAGGCCGCACCTTGATGACTGTGTTCAGTTTTGGGCCCCTCACTACAAAAAGGACATTGAATGACTCGAGTGTGTCCAGAGAAGGGCAACAAAGCTGGTGCAGGGTCTGGAGCACAGGTCGTACGGGGAGCAGCTGAGGGAACTGAGGGTGTTTAGTCTGGAGAAGAGGAGGCTGAGGGGAGACCTCATGGCCCTCTACAGCTGCCTGAAAGGAGGTTGCAGAGAGCTGGGGATGGCTCTCTTTAACCAAGTAACAATCAATAGGACAAGAGGGAATGGCCTCAAGCTGTGCCAGGGAAGGTTGAGACTGGATATTAGGAAGCATTTCTTTCCAGAATGGGTTGTTAGACATTGGAATGGTCTGCCCAGGGAGGTGGTGGAGTCCCCATCCCTGGAGGTGTTTAAGAGTTGGGTTAACATAGCGCTGAGGGATCTGGTGTAGTTGGGAATTGTCAGTGTTAGGTTAGTTGTTGGACTGGACGATCTTCAAGGTCTTTGCCAACCTAGATGATTCTATGATTTTAGATTGCTTGCTCTTGCTGAGGTAGTGATTGCACGTGTAAGTTAGGATAGAGCCCTTTATATAGTTTGAGCCAAGTGATACTTGCAGTTTTCTCTGTGTTCAAACTGTGAAAAATGAGCTAAAATCTAACATGAGTAGAGCAGGTTTTGTATTTGTCATCTGAATTCTTGCATATATAAAAAAAGTAAAAAATGAGGGAGTTTGTCTCAGAATTTGATTTAAAACACTTGTAGGTGTTAAATTAAACTATTCCTGTTACTCACCTTTCTGCCTCTAGGAAACCTCTCTTGGTCTCTAATGGTTATGACTACATTACTGTTCTGATTTTGAGCTTTAATACAGTTTTGGAAAAAATCCCTGGTTAACCTCATTTGCAGTGCATAGATTCAATGTACAGAGACTTGTTAGGCTTGCAGACCAGATTTTCTTCAGAGAAAAGTACCCAGAATCTCTGCCCCAGTGCACTCTGATCCTTTATGGGGACATAAAAATCTGAGCCAGCAATTGATTCTTTGGAGAGATTTGAAGAGATAGGGTGAGGACATTCAGTCTGTGGGACCTCACTAGTCTGATATAATATCCCCTGAAATGCATATAATATAATATAATATAATACAGTACTGCTTCTGTACCTACTCCTTTGATTTATTAATCTGCTTTTGTTGTGCAGAAGTGTCGACATAACCTATGAGTTTTAGAAAGGATCAAATGACAAGACAGAACAAGTCAAATGAATGTTTCTGTCTTGCATAAGCTATTCTAATTTCGGCTTTAGAGCACAAAGCATTTTCCTGTTGAGTGTCCATGTTATGCTAATCCAAAAGTGAAAGAGGAGAAAATATTACAGTTTATTGGTCTGTACAAGTCAGGAAAGCCAGGACACTATTCTTAAGTCCTCCAGAAATTAACTCTGCTGTACTAAGGAGGTATTCTGAGAGTCAAGTAATATTTAGAGTTGTATATTTCTAATTAAAAATCTCCAGTTCATAACTTCTACTTCCAGCAATAAATTGATCAAGTATTTCCAAAGCAAGTTAGGCTCTTTCACCTGCATTCACCAGCAGCTGTGATTCAATTCATATTTTCCCAAGGATTCTCAGTTTGGTGTCCAGGTGAGTAAGATGACAGCTGCTGACATGTAACAATCCCTGAGGAGATGAACAGGCTACAGTAGAACCCATGCAATCATCATTAGCTGTTGTTAAGGCTGACCCATCAGATCATCCTTGGGAATGATCAGACCTTGGAAATAAATAATCAGGTAGTTTCACTGGTTCTTCAGGAACTTTCATTCAAGGGTTCCAGAATGTGCTTATCAGATATTAGCAGGCACTCTAAGGCAAGACTGTTATTCTTCTGGAGAGTCCTAGGGCATGACCAGTAAAAAAAGATTTTTTCTGCGGTCAGAGAGCATTCCTAAAAATCAGACCCTTGAAAAGGGAGCTGATCCAAAGTGAAAGCCTATTTTTTGAAAAAAATCAAGTCAGCTTTTCAAGACCTTAGTCATTAGTCACAAAGCTGAACATTAAGCTCTGTTTTCTGCCCTGTGGCTGTGCTGGACTTTGCATAGTCAGATTAAGCTGTTGTAGAAAAAAACAAATTCATATCTCATGCTCATATTTTTTCCTGTTGCCTTCCCTTGTATCTTGGCTTTACTACACACAGTAAGAACAATATTTTGGAAACCCTCTTTCATATTCAATCACTAAGAAAACGCTCAGTTTTAATAATAATTTAATACTTTGAGAATAAACTTCATATAGGCCACTTTTCTTAAGTACAAATAAAACCTAGCCAAATGGCTGGTCTTGAATTCTGAGACCAGATTTTGCAGGAAAGAGTAATTCCATGCCAGTTGCAGCTGACTACATGTTTTACAAATGTCTGCCCAGTATCTACCTTAAAAGCAATGTTTGTGAAGAAAAGAATAATGACAAAACTTAAAAAGCAACATCAATGTGCAAAGTAACTGAAAAGAGGCAGTTTTGCACCTCTGAAAACAGTCAAAGAACAAATAAAACCTGAGTTCAGAGGTGTGGGTGGGGAAGCAAATCTCTTACCTGGATAGCTTTTTGACAGGAATGTTCAGCTCTGGCTTTGCACATTGGGATGAATGAAAGTCTTCAGTCAGGCATTGCTCTATTTGCATAAAGTATAATTATTAGCTAAATATTCCTCAAGGGAAGAATGAGTAGTTATGGAGTCTTGAGCTTGCTGCTTGTTAGCATGTTGTCACTTGTACTGCTCTGTCAGCTTGGATATATATGCGGCACTTGCTGAGGATTTGAGTTTAAATGATGTGTAAGATTATTAATTAACTAACGCTGATCCAAAAATTGTGCTGAGTTTAGGCTAGCACTTCCCTGACCTTTGAAGCTTCTTCTCATCTGAAATTTGATCTGGTTTATGCATCCTCATATAGCATTAGCTTTTGATTTTACATATTCAGGGTGAGAGAATAGAACTGCCGTTTTGCCTGCGATTTGTGCATTCTGCAGGCTGGAATAACTACTGTTCTGCTCAGTGCGTAGGATGGGACTGCTGGAAGTCAGAGTTCCGTTTGTACATGTCAGCGCATTCTGATCACAAGATCTCTGTTGCTTGGGTGTAAACCAAAGACTGTAAAATGTTGGCAGATCAGCAGGATGAAGACTGACTTTCTGTTCATTCTTTGTAGAGGTATATAAAATGATCGGGTCCCCTCTCTGTTGCCTTAGATCTTTGGACAGGTGCAGACCTATCCAAATGACCATAATCATCCATCTCCTCCTCTCAACAAAGGTGATAGGTAATGTTTAATGGTTAGTAAGTGGTGTAGATTAACAAATTGGGCACAAGGCCAGGACTCACAGGAACTACCTTCAGTTGGCCTACAAGCTAAGGGATGATGAGATGTGTATGTTTCTCAGCCAAGGAAGAACATGAACATGCACGCAATAAGAATCTGAGATGAGAGGTATGAGGCCTGAAAAAGGCCGTGTTGATCGATAGACAATGATGTTTCCTCCTTCCCTGATAGCAGGAGTTCTTGCAGGGTGGTCCAGTGCACAAGCATATATATCTATGTGCTTGTAAGGTTCTAACATTGTCTGTCATCCCGGCGCAAAAAGTTGTTTGCTGCTTTTTAAAAATAAAAAGAAAACATGAAAATTATGGAAATGAAACGTCAAAACACCAACATGAGGGTGGAACAGAAAGGGAAGTGCATCTCACCTCTGTGATGCTAAACTAGTAATCGATTCTTAAAACTGATTGTTACCAAGAACTCAAACTTGGTGACAGTAGTTGTGACATTCTAATCCCCAAAGCTAAAGAAGGTCATTTAAGTCTTAGTAAAATCCTCTTTCTCACCCCTTACTGTAGAAAGTCTTGTCAAGCATTCCTGTCCCTTTGCCATTCCCAGCATAGCTCTTAGAATAAAAGGGAAGCATAATGAATTTTGCACACTCTAGTGTGTCTCTTTGATCTTGTGCACCACAGAATAGAAAGTGCCTTTATTATTTCTGTTAAGTTCTTTTCAGGCCTGAGGGTTTGTTTTTTTTTTTTTCTTGAAGATAAAGTGACGTAAACTCAGTCTCTCAAATTTGTCCTACCATCTATTTTACTACCTAATTCTTAGAACCAAGAGTCATATTCTCTAATGACCTCTTAAAATGTGCATGCCAGTTGCTTCAGGACCAAAGTAAGCTTGCATACTCTGTTCTCCTTTACAACATGTTTCCAGTATGTGGAAACTCTGCAACTTCTATTATTTGCAGTCCTGGAATTTGCATAATAATTGTGTTTTGCCCCACTTAACATTTTTTTGAAAGAGACCTCTCTCCATTTCTCTCCAAAAGCACTTTCCCAATATCAGGCTCCTAAGAATACTACAGGATGTTCAGGTTGTTACTTGACCCCTACCATGCAGAGTTGTTTGTAACTGTTTTGCCTCAAGATAGCCTAAAAATAACACTTCCAGAAGTTAGCCTAAAAATAACACTCCCAGAAGTTTTAAAATAAAGAAATTTAAAACTATAGTTTTAAAATATGTGAATGCTATTTAGGCACAGCACCATTCAAGTGAGGCTAAATACCTCTTGACAGGACAATACTGTATGGGAAGAACAGCTACAAAATGAAAGTCTTGTATTCTGTCTCTGGGAGTTGTGAAAATAATCTAGTTTTGAAAAAAATACATTTTATGATGCACAAGCTTTACTTAACATACAGAAGTACTGACAGCAGAAGCTTTATCAGTGCTTTAATTTATGGAGATGCTAGTTCACATTCCATAGCATGAAGACATTCATTAAGGCTTCAGTCCAGCAGCAGTTCTGAGTGGGAAGCTCCTGGTGTCCTGGTTGAGTTCCACTGACACTAACCAATCAGGAATAAGTTCTAAAAGGACTGCCTTTCCATGTCAGATGCTCTCAATATGCAAATGCTTGTGTATTTAAGAAACAGTAGTGATGGGCCAGAATAACCAAAGGCATGCTGCAGTGAAACACAAGAATAGAAACTACATCGAAAAAAAAAAAAAAAAGACCACTGACCAGTAATTGAGAATTTACAGATGATTTTCCTTTGTGTGGGTACTTACCCTTATGAACCAGATGCCTAGTATTAACTGCAAAAGATTAAAAGCAAAATCTACCTGAGAGTATTTATGAAATAAATGCTGTAGAGATAAAATATATTTGGCTTTGTTGACCATTTACTTGAAGATTTCAGAAACAATTCACAACATTACTTCATATGATTAGTATCTGGTAACAAAATTATATACTTTAAAAAATACTGTTACATTAATCATACAGGGAAGGTTAATCATAGAATCACAGTTGAAAGTGTTTGTTTACTGGGCTACAATCTATAACACCAAATCTTCAGAACTGCAAATGTAATACCCCTGTTCTTCCTTCCGTGCAAGTGTTTGAAGTTTGTGAATCCAGTAAATTGTAAAAAAACCTTAGGCTTAATATCTACATTATTTAAAATGCCCTCAAGCCTTAATTAGTCTACAGTTTACCTTCATGCTATAGCAGTCAGGTGATGTGCCTAAAAAGCACACATTTGGTTGCTATTTAATAGAAAGGATGGGAGAACTAAAAATAAGCATCCACTCTTTTAAAAGCCCCTATGTGCTGTGCCTAACTTTCCTTCTCTAGCTGTGGCAAGTGACCAGTGCAGCTGAAAATGATGTGTATATGGGAGGGGAGAGACATGTTGTTGATTAGCTTTTCTAGGAAAAAAAATAAAAATCTTCTGTACTCTCTGCTGCAGGAGAAACTCTGCGATCTGCAAAGTTCAGTGCAAATGTGTATATTCAAAACCGAGTAAGACTGTCCTTTACTATGGATCCCTCCTTCTGTTTCCCACTACAAACATAGAACCAATTGGTTAGCACTTACCAAAGGCACAAAGTAGCTGCAGTAGTTCCACAACAGATTTCTTATCAGCACACAGTAGCACTGTTCCTCAGGAGCAGTTTCTGCAAGAGTAGCTTAGAAATTCTGTTGTGATATAGTTTGGGTCTGTCCAATGATATTACTCCAGTGGTGTTTACAGTGAGATAACATAAATAAATAGTAGCATTGGAAAAACTCTGTCCTGTAGTGTAATCACAGGTAGAAGATAAGCTTTAAATCATTACATTATAGGGACTGGTAATCTCTTCCTTCTTACTCATCTCTGCTATTCTGTTTTAATAGAGCCAGTTGCACTATGTGGAAATCGGGTAGGAGTGCAGTCCTGACTTAGCTTTAACAGCTTTAGTTTACTTCAAGACAAAAAAATACTCTAATGTGTTAAATGGGATTAGGATAGACAGTGTGTGGAACTGCTCTTAATACACAGTGTTGACCTGTCCATAGACATTAATGGAGTTGTGTCCTTTGAAAAAGGCTTTTTATTAAAATGTATCATGGAGGGGGCTTGTCTAGTAAGTCTAATGTCTAGGAAGACTTTTCATAGCTTCAGCTGCTATTGAGTGTAAAATGTCTGAGCTTGTCTGCCTCATAAATGAAACAGCCTGTTGTTTTATTCCTAAACAGCCGTAACCGTGGAACCAAAGCCCACTTATTGATTGGTTTAGGATGAACGTTACTACTAATATTTGTAAATCTTACAGGCAGACAGTGTAGCAAGGAATACTGAAACTTCTTCATCCATTCCTTGCATTTATGTGTAATCTTAATATGCAAAACCCGTTTTTATGTGCAAAGAAAATAGAGGATTTCTTACTTCATTGTGAGATAAATTTTCATGTTTCATTAGCACAGAACGTGACAGACTTTTACACTGAAAATAGGGGTATTTTTCATATTAGTGGAAGTTGTTTGGAATGGGGGAAGAAAGAAGAAAAATAGATTATACATGAACACAAAGACTATGGAGTAGAAGAGCTATTGCTACCATGTTTAATAATATATCACTAGCCTAAACTGTAATGCCAAAACCAGGTTCAGAGTAGAATTATCAGCTCTCAGTTTGGAGAGACATGTAGGTCTGCATGTCATTGAAAACTGTATATAAATGCAATTGGTGATTTTTACCTCCTTAATTGTAAGAAGGTTTGCTACATTTTATATTCAAGAGCGAAGAGCAGACACTGGGATGCCATTTAAAGAGCTGCTCTTTCTGGATTGGGTTGTAGTGCTCATTTGTCAGTTCTGATGTATTCAGAAACCACTCATCACAAAAATTCTGCAAGATTCACTCATCACATATTCCTTGTGCCTTTTCACCATCATAAGTTATTAAACATCGGTAAATTAAGAAATTAATTTGGTATCGTTTAGTGAAGACCTATTTTTTGTTTTGTATATAAATGATGTATTCAAGTTAGACCTACAGTTACCTGTGGACAGGCAAGGATTCATACAGAAAGACACACCTGAAAATACATCTGCATTGTTAACAGATCCAGGAGCAGCTGGACTTCATCAGACACCATGTGCTATCTGCACTTTAAACATAGAGAAGTACATCAGCTGGAAAGGCTGGCTGCAAATGTTCACACCTTCAATATTTAGCTCCATGTTCTTTTCTTAGACTGTTAGTTGTCCCATTACATGCTACTCAATACATATCTCACCAAGTGGAAACAAGTTTTGAGAACCCTAAGATGGAAAAAATTAAACACCTGATAA